AACCAAACTTTACTTTTTTGAAAAATACACAAAAATATTGGAGTCACAGGAACTTTTGTTATTGAGTATATTTAGGAACGTTCCATGCATCGTTTGTATGTTCGAACACTGACCAGAGACTTTCAGAAAAAAACTTGCCAGAACGGGGTTTTTTCTGAGCACGTGCAAAGAACAACATGCACATTTGTAATGTACAGTTAGGTTTTCATTTGTACCCATAAAAACGTGATAGCACACATACGTCTGTTCTCAGAGTAAATCCCCGTGGGGACCCGGTGAAGATGAACAAGAATGTATCCTGAGCTCCCCATTGCTGGTCTTAAAAGGCAACCGAATTGGGCAGCCTGTTTGCAGTGGGCTGCGACCCTGTGTCGGCAGAGGAAGGGATTCTGGTGGTTGAGGGCGACGGAGCCGGCAATAGTGCTCCTTAGTCCAACACACCACTTGGACCCTAACTTTGCCTAGATGGGTTGTAGAATTGGCCCGAATCTATCAATCGGCTGGTCACGCCATGCCCTGTGCATGGAAAACATATCTCAGAAATATTATTTTAAAAACTGGTTCATTCTGAAATATGAAATCGTTATTAATGCGGATATATATTATTGCCTAGAGTCCTATGACAGAAGGCGGTGGCTCATGGGCCAATCTGGAGATACGGACTTCTCAAATCTGTGGTTCTTGGGAATTATGTCATGGGCTGAACCAGCCTGACATTACTTCTTTTAGTTTTCATAGCTTTACAAGTCTTTATTTCTGGAGTATAACATCCCTGTAAACCTTGGTGCTGTAGCCTGGCTTCCACTGCACACCGTCCTTGTTGACACTCGATGGCGGGTGGGGAGCAGGGATGCTGAAACTTATACTTACAACATGTCTCTAAATCTGCACTCTGGTTCTTCAAAAACATACAAGCGTAGGCATACAGATTCTGTCTCGTCTGATGAAGATGTCTCTCCACAAGTGGCCGATTCTTGGCCTAGGTTCATCGTCATTTCATCCGCTGATGGCTCTCCTTTAAAGCTCAATCCTTTTGTCATCTCCAAGGGAATCCAAAGTACCTGTGGGGAAGTCAAGAATGTCACACGTCTTCGTTCTGGCTCAATCCTTGTTGAATGTGTACGGAGACAACAATCCGTTAATCAGCTGGGTCTCCAGCAGTTTGTTAACACAAAGGTTGTTGTCTCAGTGCACAAGACACTGAATTCTTGCAGAGGTATTGTGAGAGATCGCGCTCGCTGTCTGTCAGACATGACAGAAGAAGACATAGCAGCTGAATTACAAAACCAAGGCGTCACTGCAGTAAAACGATTTACCAGAAAGACACAGGCAGGTACTCATGAGAGTTCAGAGTACACAAATGACATCAAATGTGCAAACTGCGACGGAAAGCATATGTCTTTATCTCAATCCTGTCCTGTATGTGACCATGAAGCAACAATATTAAAAATCAAAGTTACAAACAACATTTCTTACACTGAAGCCAAAACGTTACTTCCATTGCAAACCCCGTCAACCAAAACGTATTCAGCTGCTGTGTCCTCTCCAACTCAAGTAGTGAAAGTATCGACAATCTCTACACAAACCAATATGTCTTGGGTTCAGGATGAACAGATTACCATTGATGAAACCAAAACATCTCACATAGTTCCGTCAAAAGTAACATCTGCTTCCCAAACAGAGACTTTGCAATCGACACCTAAAAATACTGAACTGATAGAACCAGAAACAACCACTAAAATGCAAACAGTTTCAGGTGAAGCCCACTTGTCAAAACAGATTAAGAAACAATTGAAGAAGAAAGGCAGGGCACTCCAGCACTTGGATGTGCCTTCTCCTATAACAACACCTATAGAGGTTCATAATCCTTTTGAGCCTCTGGAGATGGAGGTTAGTCCCTCAGTCCCAGTCCATGGGGATGGACCTCCCTCCCGCTCACGATCTCCAGTTGAGCCACCATGAGTAGCTCTTCTCAAATCATCCAATGGAACTGCAGAGGACTAAGGAACAACTTCAATGATTTACAATTATTAATTCAGGATTATAAATCATCAGCACTATTCTTACAAGAGACCTACGTAAAAAATACTGATTTAATTGACATCAGACAGTATGATTCGTATCATTTCTATTCAACCTCTGCTGCTAAAGCCACTGGCGGCTCCTCTGTCGTGGTGAAGCAGGGTATTATACATAGCCTTGTTCCTCTTAATACGCCACTTCAAGCTGTTGCTGTTCGTTAACTTTAAACTTTGTTTTCACGTTATGTTCTCTTTATGTACCTCTATCTTCGACTCTTCAAATAATTGATCTTCATGCCCTATATGACCAGCTCCCCAAGCCCTGTATCATCATGGGAGATCTCAATGGGCATAATCCACTTTGGGGTGGTACTGCTACAAACAATAAAGGGAAAATATTGGAAGACTTTATTTCGAACAATGACTTATGTATTTTTAATGATAACTCTAAAATTTATTTACATCCCGGTACAGGCACATATTCATCTCTTGATTTATCACTCACAAACTCTGAACTATTAAATGAATTTGAATGGTCTGTCCACGACGACCTCTGTGGAAGTGACCATTTCCCGACTATTCTTTAAACCATAACTCCATATGATGTTCCTCCATCAACAAGATGGAACTTCAGTAAAGCTGACTGGTCGTTGTTCGAATTACTCTGTGAAAACAAGTTACATCCTGGTCGTTTTATTGATGTTCCTGATTCAATACAAATGTTTTCTAATGAACTAAATCACAAAGCTGATGAATGTATTCCTAAGTCCTCTGCTAATCCACACATCCGTAAACCATGGTTTAATGATACTTGCAAACAAGCTAGGAAGGCACGGAAGAAAGCTGAAAAGTATTTCCGTCACCATCCTATGGTACATAATTTAAATAAATTCAAAATTGTAAATGCTAAAGCACGGCGTACGTTTAAGCAAAATAAACGCATGTCTTGGCAAGCTTATGTTTCAAAAATAAATTCACGTACGCCCATGTCGAAGGTATGGAACATGATTAAAAAAATCAAAGGTAAGGGATCTAAATCTGGTATCCACCATCTTCAAAATGGGAAGGAATTATTAACTGATAAGACAGATATTGCTAATAAACTGGGTGAAACTTTGGCTAAACATTCTTCCTCGTCAAATTATGTACCTCAATTCCAAAAATACCAAAAACAGCAGGAAAAGAAACCTATTAATTTTAATTCAGATAATGGGGAAGATTACAATGAAATATTTTCTATTCATGAACAACATACTGCCCTCGGACAAGCTCACGATACTGCTACTGGAGCTGAAAACATACATTATCAACTCCTGAAGCACTTACTAGAATAATGTTTACTATCTCTGTTAAGTATTTCTGATGAAATCTGGACGACAGGAAGTTTTCCACCTTCATGGGATGCGGCCATTGTGTTCTAATACCAAAACCAGGACGTGATCACACCGATCCATCAAATTATCGTCCAATTTCATTGACAAGCTGCGTTAGCAAAACCATGGAACGCATGATAAACAATAGACTTGTTTGGTACTTAGAAACCAATAATCTCATAACCAATATACAATGTGGTTTCCGTAAAAACAGGAGTACTATCGATCATTTAGTACGTTTAGAATCATTCGTTAAAAATGCCATAATAAATAAACAACATGCAGTGTCTATCTTTTTCGATCTTGAAAAAGCATATGACACTACATGGAAACATGGTATTTTAAAAGATTTACATAATTTTGGTTTGCGAGGTCGTTTGCCTCAGTTTATATCCAACTTTTAACAGACAGACAATTTCATTATAATCAGGGTGTCCCTCAAGGCAGTATTTTGTCTGTCACATTATTCAGCATAAAGATAAATAGTTTATCAAAAGTTTTAACTGATTCGATCGACGGATCACTTTTTGTGGATGATTTTAACATTTCCTGTCGTGGTAAAAATATGCATACTATTGAAAGGCAACTTCAATTATGCTTAAATAAAATTCTTAAATGGTCTCTTGAAAATGGTTTTAAGTTTTCAAAAGCCAAAACAAACTGCATTCATTTTTGTAGAAAGTATAAACCGCATAAGGACCCTGATATAGTTTTAGATGGTGTTCCTATCAAAGTTGTAAAAGAGGCCAAGTTTCTTGGAATTATTTTCGACCAGCACATGACCTTTCTGCCACATATAAATTATTTAAAGAATAAATGCCTGAAAGCATTGGATTTATTAAAAGTAGTTTCAAATTCAAAATGGGGAGGGGATCAGAAAACCCTCCTCCAACTGTACAGAACGCATATCCGCTCTAAACTTGATTACGGCTCCATTATCTATGGTGGAGCATGTAAAAGCAAAAAACTTGATTCTATTTATCATCAGGGCCTGAGGCTTTGCCTTGGAGCGTTTAGAACGTCTCCGGTTCATAGCCTGTATCTGGAAGCTGATGAACCATCACTTAAACAACGTCGCATAAAGTTATCTTTACAGTACATTTCTAAATTTCTATCTAATAACTCCAATCCAGCCTTCGGTTGTGTTTTAATCCCCTCTATGCAGGTAGCAATAGTACTGTAAGTCCCCATGGTCCCTAGTGTGGTGATCTACCTTCAGTGGTTGGCGATCAATAGCCCGTTTTTATCATGTATTGTGTATTGTTACATCTTTTTATTGTTCCATGCTAGTTTTATATTCACATCTGTGATATCCTAGTTTGTTTTACTGTCCTTCGTTGACAGGTGTTTATATTGTCAAAATGTCTTTATTTTTATATATAAATTGATCTCGTCACTATATGGCTGAAATATTGCCGATGTGACGATAAATCTTAACTCACTCACTCACAAGTATCCAATGGCCCACGGCAAACAGGCTGCCCAATTCGGTCGCCTTTTACGACCAGCAATGGGGAGCTCAGGACACATTCTTGTTTATATTCCCTGGGTCCCCACGGGGAAAGTTGTTCACGAAGAAAAACACAATAATAACAGAACGCAAACACAAGGTGAAAGGATTTAAATCAAAGGAGTGACATATCTGTATTTCACGTGAGCTACAACTGCAAATTTGTGAAACAAGGCAAAAAAGTGGAAATATCAATCTTCTATATTCTCTCACGAATACTTCTTATTTAATTATTAACACAATAATATAAAACAATACGAAACAATAGACAACAATACAAAACCAGTGACATTATTCAAAACAGTGGTGCAATACAACCCCCACCCTATTCTATATATTATCAGCCGTTCTGGAAACAGCAATCCGTAAGTAGCCGTGGAATAATTTTCGGTTCATGGAAACATAAAAGCAAATCAAATGCCTGGTTAGCCAATAAAATATCACGTAATAACTTGCAATTTTTATATTAACCAATTACATATATATGACGAATAGGGTCCCCGACGTTATCCTCAGTGTGGACAAGAGGCTGAATTTCAGCGTCTATCAATGTACAGGTTATGCTGACTTGACAGGAAACATCTGACCACCATGCTGTTGTACTCTTCATTCGTTTTAAAGAATGTCTATGCTTTTCACTGGGAGGACTCCCTTAATTATCAATTGCCAAGAAAAAGTTTGTATTCTTAGGATTTAAGAAAGGCAAAAACGTAGTCAGAACTACAAACAACACTTAATCTTTGAAATATGGTGCAATAGATCAGGTGCAGATCATATGAACACTAACAGTGCCATCATATCCTTTGAAATAATTATGAAAACGTTTCAGTTGTACAAGCTTCCATTTGCCCTGTTCTTCCAATATTTTAAATTTTCTTCTCAGATCTTCTGATTTTGCATCGTCATCAGAAAACATAGTGGCCCAACCGGTGTTGATGATGTAGCCACCTAGGAGAGGGATAATAGATAAAATATAATTACAGACTTATCACATTGCTGATACCTCAAATGCTATGAGTACTTTGTTTCAGTGCGTGAGTTTGGTTTAACGCCCCTCGAACAGAATTTCAGTCATATCACGACTTGTCAACCTAATGTGGGAAGAAAGCCAGAGCTATAGACTTAAACTATAATGGTAAAACCCACGCGAACAAATCAAGAATCACAATCAGTGCGGTTCGAACCATCCATCATCAATTCCGCCGCAGGAACGCAACTATAGAGCGCGAATTCCGGCGTCTAAGATGATTTTTAAACACTGTATGGTGTGCTTACGTAGATGTGTTCAATTAACCTCGCCCTGTAAATATAAGCAAGAAAACCCTTTCAAAGCTAATAAAAAAATGTCTGCCAAAAACAGTCGACGATTATAATTCCCACTATATCATGAGCACGTGTTTATAAATCACTATCAAATAGTGATGATACCAGGTGTTCGCGAAAAAGGAGCGCGTATCCTGTGAACGTATACCGGTGGCATCAAGCACGACACAAGCAAAGGGAAGTCAATTGTTCACCTGAAAGAACAACACGGGAACATAATACAAATCAAAACAGGGAATTGCATCCGACATTATTTTGTCACTGATGGGTCAAATTTGGAAAATCCTCCACATGTTTACCATAAAACGTTTGGAATGTTTTACTGATGTCTTGACAGTTGTAACCTTGATCAAATAACTTCTGAGCAAGAGTTGTATGACGCAACCAATGCTTGCCGTAACAGGCGACTATGCTTGTCGTAAGAGGCGACGAACGGGCAGGTAGTCAGGTTGATGCGTGTCATCGTATCCCAATTGCGTTGATCGGTGATCATGATCTTAATCATTAGATTGTGTGGTTCAGGCTCAATTATTTACGGATCAACGTCTTATAGCCGGAATATTGTAATTGCCAACAAACAAACACTATTGGAAAATTGAAGCCATCCCTCTTGTCCACCAGTCTTGTGGAGAGTGTTTTGTAAGTCTGAATCTTTATGCACAGATCTAAATATGAAACAGAATTGTCTTATTGGCCTTTCCAGTTCAGGTGGGTAAATCAGTGGAAGGTAACAGGCTATTTGACGGTTAATGAACGATATCAGATCATCGAAATACTTAAAGCTTAAGTTAAACTTCATGGCAAAAGTATCTTGTTTTGACTTTGCTAATCCGAGCCGAAATTCTGATTCATATGCATAAAGAAACAGATCAGCCAGAAGGGGAGCGCAATTGGTGCCCACTCCTGGGAGGCCTACGTCTTGCCTAAATGTCTTACCCCTAAATGTTACATAGATGTTATCAATGAGGAAGTCCAGCATTTCACGTACTGTTTTCACAGTAAACTTCAGATTGCATTTGCTTTCATTCTTGACAGATTGACCTGAACCCCTGTAGATAGATATACAACTTCACCTAAGGTCCCCACGTTTTGTAACAAAAGCTCTATGGTTCAAGGAATGAAGTCCATCCTTAAGTTAAGACACACGTGCAAAAAGATGAAAAATGACATGTTTTAACAGAATTGATCCTGGTTCTTTTCTGAGAATGTGAAAAGTCAAGAAAATCCTTTGAGTTTTCTTTTTCAGAATCCACTTTGTATGAATTAGACTTGTCTCGAATACCTTCTGTAAATACATAGAAAGTCCTTCTTCAATTTGTATGAAGTATAATGGTTAATCTTCGAGACAGGGACTTTGTGATACATCTGCTCGACCAAGCAATATATCTCTCTTCGTACGGATTATTATGGAGCTTTGGAATCCAGTACAATAGAGGATGATTTTGGGAGTAAACATGTATGATGAAATGGTTACATGTGACAATACAAAACCTGTGGACATTTCTATAACGTGTAATGGGTAAATAAATATCACGTGTAAACTGTATGATAAGCACTAACCTTTTTTGACAATCCTGATCAGTTCTTCAAAAGCTATGATAGGTAATCTTTGCATTATTTCGATGCTGAATCCACACATCACAATAGCGTCGTACGTATCTGTAAAAAATATATCTTTATCATCCAAAACTGGCTCCCGCAGGAGATATCGCTTGGGTGAGAATGAAATTGCATCACAATGCTTTGCAGATCATTGTGGCGTCATTGGTTACAATGGCGTCACAGTCAAATGACATCACTTATGACTCTGCTAATGAAGCCGTAAGCAGTATTTTTTACACTAAGACACTGCATATTACTGTCTACAAACTGAAAAGGTTGGAAGAATGATGTCGAATCATAAACATAATCTCACTCTCGTGTCTTTTGATATCAAATATATCAACAATCATTGATATATTTGATATCGAAAGACACTCGGGTGAGATTCTCTAGATATTGGACAGTTTTATACAAGAATAAATGTTGCAAACGACATGAATGAATCGAGATTTCTCCTTTAGCTGAACAATACATTCTGCTGGTCCACACATGTGCTGATAGTTGATTGTGGAATTACAAAAAAATATGATTTTCAAAACGTGGTGATGAATTTTCACTGTCATTTCTTTTCGAAACCTGATTGTTTTACTCAAGTCACCTGTATGCTCATCCTAAACCCTTTCCATCCACATACGACGTCTCTTATAAAAGTCCAATCACTGATTCCGACTATATCATCACCATCAAGTAGTGACGATGCCAGGCACACGATGATATCATTTCAGAAATGCACCGAATGATCATTAACAAGACATCATAATTTTATAGGGACAATGTGTCGAAGATTGTTTAATGATCTGGGACTTTCGAATTAATCGTTGCCGCTTTTTAATCTGATGAAACAGAATTGCTTAAAGTAAAAAAAAGCAATACCTTTTTACAGGACGTTTTTTTTATCTGCACTAAGCCACTAAAAACGTTTCTATATTCAAACCCACCTGTTAAAGTATCAAGCGTGTTTTCTCCTAAAATGCCAACAGTGTAACGGTCATACAACCCCTTCTCTTTTGCTCTGTCCAGCATACCGGGACTTGCATCCATGGCATCCATCTTCAGGAACCCATGTTTGCGAAGCTAATGGAACATAATATTTATCGTAGAAGTTGAGAGAGTAGAGATATGCTGGTACTTGGCATGTTCTTAATCTAAATTACAACACAACGCCGGTTCATAAATGCAACGTGACAGCTTTGCGCTGATTAACTACGCGAAGACGCGAAAGCACTTCGCATGTATAGAAGATTATATTTGACATCGTGGTTTCTTTATATCAGTGCTCCTGTAAATCTAGCAACACGGACAGATTGGCAAGTACTTCTAAACTTATTCAAGCGGGACATTTAATCATTCCGGTAAAACTTGGTTCTTCAAATGACACGATTGTCAGGCATTTTATCAGAAAATGCATTTTCCTTATTTAAGCTATGATGCCATGTTTGCTAACGAGTTTTGAATCAATTTTTCACCTACTGGTGTTTAGGCATAATGATACTAAGCTCTGCAACATTTAGTGGCCTACACTGCGCATTATTACCACTGCTTCTTCTATACCTCGACAGCACAAAGACCAGTGCCAGCAGCTACATCCAAGATATACACATTGTCTCTGTTTGTTGTGAAGCATTCAGCAGCAATGGCAGCCGTCTCCCTTGGGCCATTATAGTTATGAACAACCACAGTCTGTCAATAAAAGTGATGAAACCATCGTCATAATCATAAAAAAAGTTTCCATAAAAAGTTCAAGCAAATCTATTGAGTTTTTGCAAATCCACATGGTATTAATGTCTCCTGTCCCTTATACTCTCTGTGAATGTAAATAAAACCGACAAGAGCAGAGTGCGTGGTGTTCATGAATATCAATTAAATAGCTTCAATGCCTATATATACGCAATGATTTGAAAATACATGTTCAATGTGTCATTGTGCGGCATGCAGAACATCTCATACTCGAGGTTGCTAAGGAATATGGCGTAGGCAATATGCATAAACATTAAATGTGGATGGTAGCAGAATTGAGATTGCTCATTCATCATAACTCGGTGTAGTGAGTGAGTATGGTTTCACGCCGCTTTTAGCAATATTCCAGGAATATCACGGTAGGTGTGTGAATGTGGGGGGGGGGGGGGGGGACACGGGGGAGGGGAAGGGGGGGGGGGGGGGGGGGGGGGCAACTAAATAGACTTCATACATTGTACCCATGTCGAGAATCGAACCCGGGTCTTCGGCGTGACGAACGTACGCTTAAACCCCAAGGCTACCCGACCGCCCCTCAAAACCCGGTGTAAGAATGGCTCGTTTATTTTATACCTTTATCAGCAAAAGGTCAAATCTACTTTATCGAATGCCGAATAGTTATGTCAGCTGACTTATGAAATGTGAGTGTTTTGACCTTAAGACCTGCCATTGAGCTTATTTGTGACCTACGGCAAAAATGACAAGTGGGCATATTTGGCTGAGATCGACGTGTGGGTTCATTATAATTAATCCATTAATACATTCTATATCATAAGTCAACTTAGTTCCTGAAAATGTCAGTATCAAAAGTGCGTTTATTGACCATTTTAAAAACACAAATGCGTATATTCCACTACAGTGAATGCAACATTGTAATATTTCAAATACCCGTGCAATAAGGAGGCTGTTTATTACATGTGATTCCTGAAAAAGTTTGACGTTTACCGTTCAATGAATCAAAACCCAAAATGATCGAAGTGCAAGCACTGGCTAACAAGCTTCAGTTAAAATGACAACATACCATATCATACTGTTCACTTGTCTCGGAGTAACGGGCGTATATGCATGTATCTTCTTCATTCTTGTCCGAAATCTTTTCAAAGACGGCTTGAGCGTCAACTTTTTCTTCTCCGGTGCCATCGGGTGAATGTTCCTCGCTCATTGTAAACTGGAAATAAAAAAGTGCATATTAGTCATTTGGTGATGGAGTGGGGAATGGTTGTCTACAGTAATTTGTTAATCTTCGTTCGAATTTTCACGTGGTAATTGTTTCCGTGGGACTTGTCTCAGGATATTCTTCGACGAGATCCATGATGTATTTCAAGACGGCATGGTGGTTCGGGCGGACGCTCTTCCACTAGATCACAGAGGCGGCCCCACAACATGAGTGGTTACCAGCGTTGTGTCACATAAACAGGTATCACGTGAACAAGGGGGGCCTTGATATTGTCACAGGTCCAATTGCCTAGTACCATGTACCTGTCTTCGTGTAACTCCTTTGGTTCGTACATGTATGTCAACATATCTGCTTGTACATGTGGCATTTACCACATGTCTACTCGAAGCGAGTTAAAAATCTGTTATTTTCCTTTGGATATGGTGAAATTTGGAATAGACAATCAGTTTCCTGTATTCATTCATTTATATCCGCTTTTAGAACAAGATGTATTGATATTGATAACCAGTGTCTCTTTGAATCTTTTGACAAAGTATCTTCATTATATTTGTATAAAACAATTAAGCTGTCAAATGAATATGAAAATTATTTAAGTGTTGTGAATATTGCTGCATTTAGGATTACTCTCTCATAGTTTCGCACGTCGAGCAGTGATCTAATGGCATCACAGGGTAGAAAGTTAGGTATTCCAAAATGTGAAAGACTTTGTCCATTTTGTATTATTCCAAATGTAGAAACAGAATACCATGTTTGTTTAGTTTGTCCGTTTTATGACGATCTTAGAAGAAACTTTCTGCCAAGTTATTATTATACATCTCCATCAGAGCATAAATGTAAAGTTTTATTTACCACCAGTAATGCTTTCACAATCAATAATCTTGCCAAATTTACATTCTTTGCTCTTAAAATGAGGAGCAAGCAGTTGTCCATTATATAAACTACTAATTCTACCACCATATGTTTATGGTCTCAGATACACTTGTACTGATTAGTATTGATATTACTACATGCACTTGTGGCGCAACATGTTTGAATGCTTGAATATATATTTTAAAATGGGCCTGTGGCCTGATTTACTGAAATAAACCACTACTACTACTAACACTACTACAGTAAACTACGGTTATAACGAACACGCTTATAACGAACTGACGGATATAACGAACTTACTTTTTGGTCCCGACTACTTGCTGTAGTTATGCTGTGTATATGCTTATAACGAACTACGGTTATAACGAACTAAAATTAGTGGTCGCTTTGAGTTCGTTATAACCGTACTAAAGTACTGTACTACTAGGAGCGAGGCATTGGTAGCAGCTCGAAGGATATGGAAACGTGCGCAATTAAGTAGACAGCCCGTGACACGTAATGTATGAAACGGTGCACACTGTATATCACACATCTGTTGTAAAGCAATTGGTTTTATGTAAATATCATTCAAACATTTCCATATACAATTAGAGTATCATCATTTTTTTAAATTAAAGGGACATATAACATTTTCATAATCATAAAAATCGATCGTACGATTGCGACATGCGACGAGCATGTTTACAAGTATGATAGAGTGATGACACTAGATGTTGGTATCCTGCTTCACCGGTGACACACGCCACAAACACAAGCGGCAGGTCAAGTGTTCAAGTGTTAAGTCAAGACGATTGGTGAGTGAGTGGGTGAGTAAATCGGTAGTAGAGTGAGTAAGTGAGTAAGTAGGCGGATGTGTAAGTCGATTTGTGAGTGAGTGAGTGAGTAAGTAAGTAGGTCGTTGAGTAAGTGAGTAAATAGGCGGATGTGTAAGTCGATTTGTGAGTGAGTAAGTAAGTAGGTCGTGGAGTGAGTGAGTGAGTAAGTAAGTAGGCGGATGTGTCAGTCGATTTGTGAGTGAGTGAGTGAGTAAGTAAGTAGGTCGTTGAGTGAGTGAGTAAGTAGGCGGATGTGTAAGTCGATTTGTGAGTGAGTGAGTGAGTAAGTAAGTAGGTCGTGGAGTGAATAAGTAGGCGGATGTGTAAGTCGATTTATGAGTGAGTGAGTGAGTAAGTAAGTAGGTCGTTGAGTGAGTGAATAAGTAGGCGGATGTGTAAGTCGATTTGTGAGTGAGTGAGTGAGTAAGTAAGTAGGTCGTGGAGTGAATAAGTAGGCGGATGTGTAAGTCGATTTGTGAGTGAGTGAGTGAGTAAGTAAGTAGGTCGTTGAGTGAGTGAGTGAGTAGGCGGATGTGTATGTCGATTTGTGAGTGAGTGAGTGAGTAAGTAAGTAGGTCGTGGAGTGAGTGAGTGAGTGAGTAGGCGGATATGTAAGTCGATTAGTGAGTGAGTGAGTGAGTAAGTAAGTAGGTCGTGGAGTGAGTGAATGAGTGAGTAGGCGGATGTGTAAGTCGATTAGTGAGTGAGTTAGTGAGTAAGTAGGTCGTGCAGTGAGTGAGTGAGTGAGTGAGTAGGCGGATGTGTAAGTCGATTTGTGAGTGAGTGAGTAAGTAAGTAGGTCGTGGAGTGAGTGAGTGAGTGAGTGAGTGAGTAGGCGGATGTGTAAGTCGATTAGTGAGTGAGTGAGTGAGTAAGTAAGTAGGTCGTGGAGTGAGTGAATGAGTGAGTAGGCGGATGTAAGTAGGGGTGTCAAGTATATCTTTGGTCACCACATTTGGTCATAAGTGACCCATTTATCAAACAATCCTTTCAGTGTTTGAGCATCAACATGGTTTTAAATCAAATACGTTCTGTAAATATAAATAAAGGAGTCCATTGCACGATTCCGACTATATCACAAGCATATGTTTATGAATCACTGTACCATTACTTGATTAAGTCAAGGTTACCTGAAAAAGGATGATGGTTAATCTTTGATATGATTGTACATTTGCTGGACCCTGTAATATATCGGTCTTCGTATGTCTCTTTATGATGCTTTGGAATACCGGTGCACAACAGTGTTTACCCACAATAACCACGGTCACTATGTCACTTACTACACAAAGGTATGACTTACATGTAGATGTGAATTTGTTTACTGTCTGCATAAAACCTTCAGGTAACCATCCCACTCACGGTTAATCCTGTTCTGTAACTCAACGGGACGGGAGGAAACCCCACCACTTTAAAAATGAAATTGCAAAAGTGTAAAATACAAGTTCAAACTAAATCAACGCATGGCACGTTTTTCTTTGCACAAACACAGACACTGATAAAATGCCACCAAAGAAATGCTACGACTGACACCTGAACAACGCGAGCTTTGATACAGATGGGTGCAACCAGTGCCCACATTGCTGGAACGTTTGGTTGCTCCCGTGTTGCTGAAACTAACCTGATGCAATGTTACAGATTGCCCGGGCAGACATCAGACAGGCCAGGAACAGGCGGGCACAGGGTAGCTACGCCCAATGAAGACCAGTACTTGCATACGTTGCATCTCCGGAATAGATTCCTGACAGTGACGATATCAGTGAGGAATACCTCAGAGCTTATGATAAATCGACGGACAGTGGCCTGGAGACTATGGGCTCAAGGACTTAGGGATCACAGACCTTACATATGGCAGTTATTTACAGCGCAACATCGTCGTCAGAGACTGAGATGGGCCCGGACTGAACGCCGTTGGCAGCGACGTGACTGACCGAGTGTCGTCTTCACTGATGAAAGCCTGTTCTGTCTGCTTAGAGCTATACAGCTGTAGCGTGTTTACCTCCGAAGGGGAGAACGAACGACGGCATGTTGCGTTTACGAGGTTGTACCATATGGTGGAGGTGGTGCAATGGTGTGGGGAAGAATTTGTGGGCAGGAGAGAACACCACTGGTGATCGTTAACGGAAATTTGACAGCTAAACATTACATGGATGACATTCTTCTTCCTTTTGTCCAACCATTTCTACAACAGTTTTCTTTATCAGCATGACAACACCAGGCCACATACAGCCCGAATCGTACACAACTTCGTTGCTCCCAACAACGTCAACGTGTTGACCTGGCCTGCACGGTCCTCAGTGAGTGAGTGAGGAGTGAGTTCAATTTTAAGTCACTGCACGGTCCTCAGACATTTCCCCCATGGAACACCTCTTGGATGTCATGGATCGTCGCGTTCGACAGCGACCACATCCTCCTGCCAACCGACAAGAACTGACTCAGACCCTCCAAGAAGATTACTTTTTTCCATGCGCCGGAGAGTTTTCGCGTGTCTTGTGGCAGGGGGTATTTGCGGACGCTATTAATGTGACGTCTCATTGAACATGAGCGATTGTCGATGAACACGATTGTCCATTTTGATGAAAGCTTGTTATTTTTTATATTTGCATAATGTGCAATTTGTGATTCTCGAAGCTGATTGGTCAGTTGAACAAAGAACAATTTTCATTGGACAACGGGACTATTGTTTTCTCATCCTATTCATTCACAAATCCACGCCATTCATTCAAATGTTTAACGTGCTACAATCTCACTGATTCGACATTTTCAAGACAAGAAACAAAGTTTGATAGTAACATCATGATTTAACTTTTTTCTTTTCATTTATTTCACATGATTTTCATTTTACAGTAAAAACCAAAACTACGTCTGAGTTGTTTGTAAACAAACATAACCATTTGCCCCTGTCAAAGTAAATGACCTCTTTATAGCAGGCGGAGATCTGACTGACATGAAGAGTTATTCGCATTATTCAACCTCTGAACACATTAAATGTCTCTGTTATCAAAACTGTGTCGCCTGATATATTTAGGGTTAGTTGGCACGAGTTATCCCTGTTCCATTTCACGGACGCTACATCTCTCAATCTTACCCCGGCTTGTATTAGCGACAGTGTCTCGTGCACACACCTGGGTGTGACGTGGACACTTTCAATGCCACTTTTTGTCACGCCAGACACGAAAGACATTCATTCTCCCTCGACTTATCAATTCATGTTGATGTCATTTATATCTTTTTACAGGTAATAAATCCTTTTATAACCTATCGTCACCGCCCCAGTTCCCCCAATTACATCGTTGGCTGAACCCGCGACAACTGCATGATTGAAGTTCCAATATTCAGATTGGGATATTGCCAGAATCTGTTAATTTCTAATGCGCCAAGATCAACACCACCAAGTCAGGATTTGCGAATAGGAATATCACAATTATTACACAATCACTATACCATGCTTCTAACAGAACACCTCACTCACAGTATGTGAACGTGTAGCGTTAGTCATAGCAAAATAATAAAACAGTCTTACCTCAAAGCGTATGGTTGGCACACTCGGCTTGAAAACAGCTCGACGCTTTTCCACAACCTGTTTTATATTATCCTTTATTGCAGAGTGTCAAGGTCTGGCGGTTTCTGTCAGTAAGATCATGAATAATCGTTACAACTTTTATTCACTAGAACGATCTGCTTCTGGCTACTTGAATGCAACAAGCGTTTTATTTAGGTCTATTCATAACAACCCACCAAACATATTTGCAAACAACAGCTGCCACATAAGCCAAACCGGACAAGTATGAAACAAGCTATACCTTAACAAGTGTTTGTCCTGCAGATACACCTGTATTCGTTTAAGGTTTATTCTTTGTTGGTTCGGGACGACATTGTTCATGGTCTGATGATAACAATACAGAAAAAAACGTGGTTTCCCAGATCATGCTGTAAGTAAAAAGATTACTGCTGTATTGTAATCGATTACGACCGTGTCGGATTCGTCAACCGCAAGTACAGACATGCAGACTAATTGAAAATCGAGGGACTATGCATGGCTATGGGACAATCACAAAATATATGATGTACATGAGAGGGTTATGTCAAAGAGGAGGCACGGATTGTCATATTACTGTCACTCCAATTAATCCCTGGAGCACCTCATTCACAACTACATCATGTAATACTAGTCCTGGGCTGAAAGCCTATGAATAAATACATCACTGATCATGAATCAGATGTCAGATCTCAGCATGGTACATAAACGACAGGTGAGGTGAAATTCAATTCAGGTTATTGTATTCAAGGCCAAAGGCCCACATATATATAGGTCACATATTATTAAGGTTAAGGTGAGTAATGTATAGTTTTTATGAAGTTAACACTACTTTTTAATAAAAGTATTTTTTGGTACAGAACTTGGACAACTATTTAACAATTATATTATTAGTATCCGTCATAAGAAAAAATACAATTTTCTCTATATTTAGGGCGTATATACATATACAGTTTTCTTACATTATCATACCATGGACATTTTAAAATAACGTAAAACTTCAACCTTATTCAAATTACAAACTGGCAGGTTCGGTTTTCTTCTGGGATATTTTGTCTATGTCCAATATCTATCTGAAGCACTGCCCCGCCTGTTCTTATTGGTGCTAGATGTTAATTTCATGCAGTTCAACTAGACATCAAATACTATACTGAATAGTAGAGAATAATAGAGAGTCCCGGATAAGATACTAGCGTTAGTATTCCGGTCGTTTAAGTATCAATCTAACATATTACGCCATTTTAGTTGTGGAAGTCGTGGATGCTTATTAAACATTATGTTCAACGTGTATAACGTTTCTGTATCAAGTGACTTGGTGGTCAACATGTTCTATTATCTGCATTTATAATTTTGGTCATGTAATTCGTCTCATTGCTTGTATCTTCACGGGAAATATTTCATGTTTCAATATAATGAGTAGCATAGCATCGGCAGCTAAATGTATGTATTTACAGATAACCAGTCTGTGACCGTATATGTCTGGAACACAATACACGAAAAGTAACACTGTTTCCGTAGCTAAATACGCACAGACTCGGCAAAGTCTTTTAACTATTTATCATATAGGTGCATTCGCACTATAGTAACGCGCCGGCAGATTGTGTGTTTCATGTTGTAGAATAGTCTATAAAGATACAGGCAATTCAGTGGCAGTCTCGTATATAAGAGTTACAATACAATATCCAGCATTTCTTTTATAAACTCTTTCTAATGTTGTAAGTTATTTACTTATTTATAATTGGTAAACGTCAGAAGTGTTTGATTAGTGTTAAAATGTTTAATTATCATTTTCTTGAATTCAGTATCGGCAGTTACATCGTTATAGTAAAGGCTACGGTTCGACGCACGCTCGGCCGTCAGCCATTGTTCACGTGGTGCACGTATCGTGACACCCGGCTTAAGCCCCAGGTATCAGTACCGCAGTTTACCTGGTTACAGCAACTATGTAATCATTGTTATATTTTCAAGAAGGCATCAGTATTGTACTTTACTTATTTATCAATGAAATTCAATTTTGAGGTAATTAAGTTTAAGAATATTCGGAATGAATTATTAAGTGAAAGTATTTTACTATACTGTAATGATGAACTTATTGTACAAGAAGAGTATTGTAAGATCATCCTTATGTCCATATTTTAACTGAATTTATGAATGATGTACGCTATGAACATGAGCACAATGTGGTCAGCGATCATGGTGCTTATAATATGGTACCTTAATAAGTCCACTGTAAAATAACTCATTATAATTTCTTAACTATTAATTTCAATTAAGGATTGACTGTGTATTTTTTCCGGTTCATTGAGGTATGAATCGAAAAACCGATGTGCAAACTGTATGAATCCGCGTAGCGGATTCTTACAAAAGTTTGCACATCGCGGATTCATACAGTTTGCACATCGGTTTTTCGATTCATACCTCAATGAACCGAAAAAAATATACAGTCAATACTTATAATTAATTTCGACAACGTAAAACATGTTTTATCTACGAAAGTTGAACCCAAAACAGTTGCATGTCGAAAAAATGACGACAATGATAAACATTCCAGGTGTAGGAATACATACAGTGGTGTGACATGAATCAGGTGATCGTTTAGTTTATGCACATAACTTGACACGCCTACACAGTCAGTAGCCAATCAACGGAGAGTGGGATTAAAACAATGTTCATTGGACCTGTCAATTAAGGCAAGAGGCGAAAAGAACTGCAACAGTCGATTGTAACGAACCGGAAGAAAAATGTCCGAGAGAAGGCGGCTGTTTCAAATAACATGGTCATTTACTGCGTGATTCAAACATTACTTCCCTGAATACGGTCAAACACAGTTGGAGAAATGCTAGTTAGAAAAGAAACCCGAAGACATGAAAGTTGAACCGAGGCGAGCGGGAAAAAAACAGGCGAGCGAACCTGCACGTTTGCTGTTTCATTCATTCTCGGCCTTCGGTTTCAAAGGGTAGTTTGGACAATGAATATTCATGAAAGTCGCTAAATGTCCTGTGCATGACGATACACGTGAGCAGAAAGGGAGTTCCCTCGACTGTAATAAAAAGGTAATAAAAGTAGTGCGCCGCGGTGGGCGTGGCTTAGTTTTTACATTCATTGGGAAATGAATGCAATAACACGTGACCAATTCTGCTAATCAGAATGCAGGAATTTCCATGAACACAACGAAAATTTAATTATTATATAAATGCTTACTAGCTAATTATGATGTCTTAACTATAAAATGGAATACTGAGATGCTGTTGAATGTATGTTTGTTGCCTTTTTGATGTCATATAAACTGACGTCCAAAAGAAAGACTTAATTGACAACTGCAAATGGTGTCTATCTTGACAAGACTTGCTTGACAACGGCATTAGGGTCTATACCGAAACGTCGCCTTTACACTATTAAAGAAGTTCTCCATAAATTGTGTCTACTTTGCCATCCGTCAACTTCTAAGTTATGCCTATCAAACAATTAATTTTTAATGACGTATATATAACATGGCTGATATAAAAAAAACGCCTTTAATTATGAATGATGTATATTTCATGTCCGATGTATGTGTGCACTTCCCCATATTTCTTTCTCAATTATATAATATATGTATAAACATATTCGATATGCACCATCCCCCATAGATCGGGGTCAAAGTGCTGTATATGATTTATTTGGTACTTGTATATACCGCCTACAATCCATAGCTATCGTTTTGCACGAACAGAATTTAATTCCGAACAGCCTATCATATAAAGAGATATTATTTTCTCCAGACAGGCGGTATTAACTTTGTAAAAAGAATAATAAAACACTTTCATCTAATGTAATTTTCGTCAAAACCTTTTGGCATACCATTTACAATTAATCAATACAATTAATTTAAAGAAGAAGAAAGAACATGTCTAAATGTAGAGACAAATGAAATAATTGTTTTGAATATTATATAAATAGGATTTATCACATCTACCCATATGTGAATTACAAGGATTCCCTTCAGCACAGTTATATCAAATAAATTAGTGAGGATAAATGTTTTGCATTTCTATTCACATTGTGGGATTGGAGGAGACCGCACGTTAAATTGGGCCACGAAGAACTGAATACGGAAAATTGTTTACAGTTACAAACATTATTGACATTTGTGAATGAATGTGAATTGCCGCACGTGAAGGCGTGTGAATATTTGACAAGTACAAAATAACAAAACACTCAAGATGTTTCCAATTTATAGTGAAGAATTTAATGTGGGTTATTTTTTTGGAACGGAACATGAAAATATACAAAAGATCATATTCAGTATGGTACCCCCAAATAACATAAACTAAATCATATTCCGCATATATATCGCCATACGTTTTAGAGCAAACCGAAAGCTTTACCGCAGTAAATGGGGATTTTACAAAATTGTGGAGTGTTATCCCAGTTCTGGTCGCTACACTTGTGGTTAGAATATGAATAAGTTTTTTTACAGGTAAAACACTAGTGTTCTAAATGGCAAACCTAAAGTTGATCACAGCGATAGAAACATTTATATTATAGTGTGACAGGATCAGATAGTTGTATATTATTTGAGAGTTTTATTAGTTTAGATTTTTACTGAATTAAATATTCAGTCAAGTATTATATACTTCACATTTCAGCTCTCCTAATTCTCTGTTTCAGCCTACTGCATGAGTACTTTGCCACAGCCTTAATCACCTAGTGCACTATCACACAATAACCTGCCAAAGCGCGCCCCTTACAGCCCCTCTGTGTTAAACTGGTTTAACCTCACTGTGCCCTCGCCCCAAATGTTGTTACAGTGGATTATAGGGAACTAAGAGGCACAGATCACTTAATCGCTTGGTATAGTCTGTGTCATTAAAGTGAACGCTCTTCTGAAGGTGAACTCTGTTCAATTAGTGTCTCACTGTTATTTGAGGGGCGGTCGGGTAGCCTAGTGGTTAAAGCGTTCGCTCGTCACGCCGAAGACCCGGGTTCGATTCCCGACATGGGTAAATTGTATGTAGCCCATTTCTGGTGTCCCCCGCCGTGATAGTGGTGGAACATTGCTAAAAAAGGCGGCGTAAAACCATACTAGGTGAACAGTTTTCTCATGTAC